CCACATTGTTCCAACACGACACGAAGCACTCTTGGGACGTCAATGGATAAGAACATTAGGAATCAAACTGAACAAATTAATTAGCTACACAAATCAAAGCACCCAAATTTCTCATAACCATAACCATAATCCAGACATCCAGACATTTCGATAAGACTGAATGCCATCTTTCCTTACAGATCTCAACCTTCAACTACCCAGCCTTCACCTGCAAGTTCACTATATGTGGGGGAGAGGTTACAGGTTTGATTCTTTATCAATAATAAGCACACATGGCAGTTTGGTCAAGTAAAGAAGAAGCTTGGGAAAAAACACTATCTCTTAGTTCTCGACTCATCTGATAGAATCCTGAAGAGGCACATCAATCAACTACGCCCAACACTGAGAGGCCAACGAAAAACGTTACATTTGGACCAACGCAATCGTTTGATCTTCCCAGAATTACAAGACGACCAAAAATAATATATGAATCCAGATCCAGTTGCAGCTCCAGAACCAAGGCAACCAGAAGTACAATCACCAGAAAGAGCTCGAACTGAGAACTAAGGACTTCCGAACAATTTAAATATGTTATTTAGATATGTTTCTTACCCAGGAACAATAGTCTAAAATATTGGTAGATAGTTCAGGGACACCCTGTTTATATATAGATGGGTGCATCAAAACTTGTTTCTCTTTCAAACCAATTTCTTTAGTTATTTTAGTTTGTATTTAGTTGTTCAGTTTAGTTTTAAAAAACACCAGGTTCCAGTGACAACACATATAGCTTTTAGCTGTTTCTGTTTAGCTATGTCTACACTAGTGCGCTTTTGTGTGCGCCAAGCGCATGCCTCTTAACGCAAGCCTTGACGCAGATGGAAACAAGTGACACATGTGTCAAGGCATTCCCAAAATGAGTCGGAAGGAGCTCCATTCCATAACGCATAGGGTAGCTCAAGACATTCCACCAGCCTTGGATTTCTGTGCGTTTTAACTTGCATCTGCTTTACATTTTTGACAAGTCTTCCGTGTTGTAGTTGTTTGAAGGATATTGAATAACTAAGAAACCTCAGGATTCTTAGAAGATTATAGCTCTAATGTATGTTTGTGGGACATACGGAGTAATAAAATAAAATTAAATTAAAATAATTTTGTCAATTAATTAAATATAATTCAAATTAAGTTAAATAAATAAAATAAGAATATGTAGAGTTTTATGGTACTTCTTTATCCACATTGTCCGCGATGATTTCTTACGTTTTGGAACTTTTCTTAACACTAAATATGCCACACCATCCCTCCAACGAGCACATGATAATAATAATAATAATAATAGAGAGGACATGGCATTTAACCAAATGCACTGAAAGTATGGCTAAAACCGCCATCTTGGTCCGTCCTACAGCCTGAATCCAAGGCCCGTGAGCACAGTTCGCATTAAAAACCCCAACATTAATAGTTGACAAAAAATTCTGAATTTTTGCACACTTGTAGATATGATACTGAGGAAAACGATGGTGTTAATATAAAATTATTAGTTATGATAGTAATTGAGTTATAAATATGTTTAACACTTATGTAGTTTAATTTTTCAGATTTAGACATGAAAAAGTTGTATTGCGAGGAAATTTTTTATTTTTTGATCAGAGAAATTTCGTCAGCGGGAAAGTTGTGGATAAATAACCAAATTTAACTGAAGATATGTTATTCATTGTAACCCTTGGTTGGAATATATAATTGATAAAATGGAAGAATTACCTTATCCAACCACAGGTGCTAGTATGACAACTAGTTTCGTTCCTTAGAACATCGTCAGGTCATAGTTTGCAACCACATCATCAATGTATTAATACATTGTGGTATGTCAAAAGATTCTTTAAAACATTGTCAGAATCACAACAGTAAAAACTAGTCATGTTGATCAAATTATTAAAATTGAATAAAAAGTGATAAAACTGGTAAAAACTGCTAAGGCTGGCCAGCACTCTCTTATCACTGTCACTGACTAAATAAAACGTTTTATTTATGTTATGTTTTATTAATTTTTTTTTATGTTCTAAGGAACGAAACTAGTTGTCATACTAGCAACTGTGGTTGGATAAGGTAATTCTTCCATTTTATCAAATTTAACTATCCGATTCACCAAAAACTTTTATCATGTTCGGTTTTCTAAAAAAAATCAGGTACAAAAGGGGTCCATTGCCGCTGCTCCGCGCCACGCCCGCTGCCCCGCCGGGCCGTCGTCTATACATTTAGGGTGCAGTGTTTTAATGTTTTATTTATACTGTTGTACTGTAATATTGTATATATTAAAGAAATTTTCAAATATATACTTTGTCTATGAAGAATTTTTTAACCGTTTAGCACAACTTTTTAAGGACTAATTAGCTTTCAATATCATCCAAGATAAACTAAAAATAATTCTGTAAGTTAAATTAAACTTCCCAAATATTTGTAAAATTATACTCAATTTATTGTCCCAGAAAAATTGTAGTTTTATTGAGATGTTGCCTGACTATTTTTGTGAAGACTTTCGTTACTTATTTTACAGTACTAAACAAAAATGATTTTTGTCCATATTGTTTCATATCCTGAGAAATGTAACAACACTGACTATGAAATGAACTATTTGGAAACAAGTTTACTCCTACACATTGTCCAAGTACTTTGTTCGTCAAGTCCTCAATTACATTGTTTTCCTTTACACTAATATTTTCATAGCAGACGACTAGCGCACTGCACACGCCGGGACTAGGCTAGCGCCGCCATCTTTGTCCGTTTCGCCGGCTAGTAAGACTGCCACGCTCTTGCGCTCCGAGTAGCGCTTCTATTTTGTTATGTGTTCGCTGCCATCCCTCCTATCAGAATAGCGTCGTCTTCATATAATTAGGAAAAGGTATCTGGAAAGGTAGGAAAGTGACACATGAGTGTGGACAGCTAAAAGGCATGTTTCAAGGGGCGTGTAATACCGCTTGCATTGAAAGCTGTAAGACACGTTGAAATTGAAAGCGCACGAGTGTGGACATAGCTACTGGGTTGTACTCCCATAGATAAGTGGAAGTTAGGTTATGTTTCTCTTTGTGTCTGACATATTTGGCCATCAAACAAACTAATTTTAGGGTATCCAAGTACGATTAATGGTTTGTTGTACTTGTGCTACAATGATATGTTGACATTATTATGTTTAGCTAATTAAAAATTTATTTATAATTTACGTACATTAAAATCATAGGAAGGTAAAAAATCTATTTATTTGTAAATTACTTTATTCAGATCTACAGATATTAAATTACAAGAAATAAAAGGTAACTTATAGTAGGTATAAACTAAATATAAACACTAAAACTAGGTATAATATGTATTTTCCACAAGTTTTACTTTACATTTAACCTTTTTATGTGATGTTGAACTTTAGACAAAGTAGCATTGCATCAGTTTGGGAAATTTACTAACTTTTAGACTCAGAAAGGAAGAGGTTTTTAATTTGTTTTTAAATCTCGTTGAAAATCTATCTGAATGTTGATATGAAGTGCGAAATAACACTAGACAGGCCTAATTTCAATTTACAGACACAATCTCAAAAAGGTTCTAGTAAATTACAATTCTATAAAAGGTACCATAAGTATAAATTTACTATTAGGTAGCTCCTACAAGTATAAATAAGGTAAACTTCGTATTTTATGTTGACAAAATAGCGGCGGTATGGGTGAATTACCTATTAAACTATTCAGTCTTAAGAATAGGCTCAATTGCACTTATCTGTACAAACTTGTACTGGTCAATGCAAATGACTATTTGGAATGACTATTTGTTTTCTTCACAAAGAATACTTAGTTAAATATTCCATGATAACTAATCATTATCTACTTTGGTACTAGCTGACTTTTACAACTGTTTTTAAAATGGCTATTAAAAATAACAAACCTAGTTTAAAACTTAGTGAATAAGGATTATAGAGATTTAAATATGGAAAGAAAAAATCATCTATATTAAAAAGAAAGAATCAGGTAAAAAAAAAATAAATCAAGTTATTCAATAATAGCTAAAATAAAATACACACGTTTACTTATATTGTAAAATATAACTTTGGCAAAACTTTAAAAAAGTAGCCTAACTTCAGCAAAATAAAAAAAAATCAATTCTTTCATATTAAACAGGTTGAATGTTATAATAACCTCTGTGCGCAAATTTTGCGATCACAGTGACATATATCTTTCCTGCAATCGCTAAGATGTTAACTTACCTTACCACTACTGTTAATTCAGATGGGAATTTCATTAATAATTATTTTCCTTAACAATTGTTTTAGGTTAATACGTTTGTTTATTTATAACAAACATATTACTTAAAAGTAAAAACTGTACGTTAACTAAAAAAACAAAAAAAAAAACATATATACATGGACACTGTAACATGAGGTAAAATTAGGGTTGGCTTACTGACTAAACCCATTTGTCCAGAGTAGCCTATTTATGATATTCTGCATGTGATAGTATGTGATAGTATACCCTGTGATATTCAGGGTGTCCAGTTGACCTGGAAACCGGAAATTGCACACAAATTTTGATGACTGAAAAAAATCCATTAATTGTACGTGCATTTGGTTAAGAACAAGGAAAATTAAGTGGATTAGTCATAGCTGAGAAATCTGCCCGAAATCACCGATTTTTGTCATTTGGCGCAGGCTATTTGAAAATCACGATCGCGGAAAAACTTTCATGAATAACGGACGTTGCAGCGATCACAAGAAATGATCACGGACGTTGCCACAATAACAGGAAATCATCACAAATTTCATCGAGATTAAAAGATGATAACAGATTTTGCCGCAGTCGGAAAAATAGTCACGAATGTTGAGATGATCGCCGATATTGCTGCGATCACAAGTAATCATCACGTGTGATTCCGTGATTATGAGAAATTATCAAAGATTTTGCCATGATTGTGTAACGTTACTGCAATTCTGGAATAGCCGCGTTCGCAAGTATGATCACAGCCGTTGCCTGGATCACAAGAAATCTTTATGAATTTTGCCGCCATCGCAAGATGATCTCAGATGTGGCAGCGATAGCTAAAGTAGTCACAGGAATTGAACAAATCGCAGGTGTTGTCACGATTGTGTGAAATCATCACAGGTGTTGTCACGATTGTGTGAAATCATCACAGGTGTTGTCACGATTGTGTGAAATCATCACAGGTGTTGTCACGATTGTGTGAAATCATCACAGGTGTTGTCACGATCGAGGTATATTGCCACAATTATTGCCTGGATTGTGAAAAATATTCAAAAGGGTTTACATGATCACCGGGAAGATAAATGAATGTTGCCACAACCAGAAGAGTTATGGCAGATTTTGCAGCGATTGTACTTAATGATCTTGGGAAATCATTACAAATTTTGCTGTGAATTTAATATATCATATTATGATCACAGATATCTGAGATCGGAAAAAATCATCACGGATGTTCCCTCAATTGTAGGAAATCATCAAGAATGTTGTTGCAATATTGGGGAATCATCACCAATTTTGCCACAATCGAAAGATGTGACCATTGATGTGACTGCGATCGTGAGAAATTGTCAGGGAATTCACAGAGGGGTTTATAATGTACTAGCAGGTGTAAGGAAGTAAGTTAGGCGTATTTTGAGAGGCAAGTTTTTTCAGTTAAATATTGTGAACCTGAATAGCCTAGAATTGCCATTGAATTTTATTTGGATGGGAGCAAACTCTGTTATTATCATCTCTGTAAACAATACCTGGATCATCTACAGAGATTGAATCAAGCTTTCTGATTTCTTAATTAGAGTTTTCCACAGCAGTGGTTTAATTAGCAAGGAAAATAATGGCTAAAGTAACAGTGATGGTAAACCAACAAAAGAACCAAATACAAAAAAAAATATAAAATATAAAAACACAGGATATTGTTGGATTGCATTTAGGGCTAGAGCAGATACCGTGTTTTATACTCAATATCTATATTTATTGCTATTGTACTTGTTTCCTCTCCTGGGCCATCTGTTGTGATAAGGCAGCCTTGTGTGTCTAATGTCCAATACTTCTGAGGCAATCCTCATACCTTCCTCCAGAAGAGAGTTTGCGTAAGCGAGCTTACTTGTGGTGTGTTGTTTGGGAGGATAGTAACCATCCAAAGTTTCCCTAAGGTCTCTTGAGAACCTGGAGAACCTTGTATGACTGTTGTCAGGAAACTGAAACGGATATATGGATCTAGCTGGGTCGTAATGGGATACATAGGCATTTTCATTTTCATAAACATTATCCCTCATATACATGTTATTGTAACCTTGGTACAACGCTCCCCTCAGTGGCGGGGGGTACAAGGAGTCCCTCTTCTGGTAATCCACATCTTGTACTTTTCTACATCCACCAGAGTACATCCTGACCATTTCTTCTGTGGGAAACATACTCGATCGCCCAGCGCTGAACCACCTTTTGGGGCTATGGTTGTTCTTTTGATTCTTGTTTGTTTTGGGTGATCGTTTAGGTTTAGGAATTTTATCAGCAGATAACCTCTCACACACTATAACCAACTCCACTCGTAGCATATGCGGATGCAGATCAACAGGAATCACACGTTTAACTACGAATGGATCCAGATCTTGGAAGCCGTGCTTTTCGTTTTTACTCACCAAATCCAGAAGATTTTGTGTTGGAGGGAATTGGCTTGTGCAAACATAAATCAATCTGTTCACTTCAGTTGACTTCCTCATCGTTGCAATGAACTGCTTACCTGAAAAAAACCACAGCTGTAAAAATATGTGAAACTGTCACTGTCAAATACGACATAAAAATTAAGAACCATCTTAGTCGTCTTTATTTTATTTAATCACTATTCTTTTTACAAGATGTCAAAATAATAAGTCATCTCAATATACAAAAAAATACTGAGAGCTTGGAATAACACATGTACTGTACAGAGTTCTTGTGCCCCACTAGTCTGTCATTATGTAATGTTATGTTTAATTTGAGTGTCTATTACGAGACTTGTAAGGCAAGACAAATGTTAAATCCATAATTTAACCTGTGCGGGTTCCAAATATTGGTAACTTTGAAACTTAAAGTCATTAGCGTATTTAATCCTACAGGCCTGTTACACTCAAATGATGTAAGGGCCTCCAACAAAGGGTTGCTTTGCTCAATGAGCTAACCAAACCTCTTTTAACAACACTTAACTACAAATGAGTTCAACTCACTTTTAATTCACTGGCAGACTCAACGAGTCCCTCAGGAAGGTGTTGGACTGATCAGTGATCATCCTAAATTTTGGTTGCCCACCAAAACAAGGATGACGAAAAAAACTTGAAAAACGTTGGTTGCCACCATCTCCAAACAGCAGTCTGCTTAACTTGGAAAACAAGTAAACACCATTGAGCTTGCAATCCATCCTCTGGGTTGCGCAGCTTTTTATCTTTTGTAAATGATTTAACTTTGGTAATTCATACTCTGAATTACGCTTTGTTTAATATCCAAGCATTATGTTTTAAGGAACAGCAAAGTTCAATTGACCAATTGGATTTCTTTTGTTAACTTGTTTTAATGTATAACTACTTCAGACACTGATGTTTTAAAGTCTGCGATTCACACCGTAGATTGTAAAATTTGCAATTGTAATTGTGAAAACTTTTAATTTGGTTCTATGTGTGATAATCATGGAACATTTTTATTTCATAAATATATTACAACACCACACTAGCAGGGTAGGGTGCATAATTTACATTAGCATAGGTATAGGCCTACTTTTATGTACAAAATCAAAGCTGACAATGTCAACTGTTTTGTACAATTACAGAAGAACCTCGCTAATCCTGAGAACCTCAGATGATCCGACTCCTCTCTTTGTGCGACCGTGCCGCCAACACAACAGGCTTCTGCTAACATAACCTCATTGCCCAAGAAAAATACCTAAAAAAACTTTATAAATAGTGTTTTAATTTGTTTGAAGTGTTCGAACTTGATAATGTGTTGAAATTTGTTGTATATTTAACCATTTCTGCCCATTATTAATATTAAGTAAAGTAGGCTCCCACATTATTGTTTTTGAAAAATGTAATTTGACAAAAATAAAATGAAAGCAAAACAAAGGAATGTCGATCAAAACTTCAAGGTCAAGCTATCCGTTTGCACTGACAATCTTCTGCTCCTTAGGCCTACATATGACACATCTGTCTGCTGTGCGCTTGCTAACATTTTGTGATTGGGTATTTGGTAATCATAACAACTGTAGTACAGTAGCCTGTGATTGGGTGATTAGTAACCATGGCAACTTGTTGAATGGGTAGATGAAGAGAAACTCAAGAAAGAATAGAAGAACAAAGAGAAAGAATAAGTGATGTTTTTATGTTGTTATCTTTATCGTGTATTTTACGACTGTTGTTATGCTATAAGTAGCCTACTATTATTTTATACTTTTTTATGCGTAATCTTAGTTCTTCAGTCCTGAAACAGCGTAGCAGTAGCCTATGACTAGCAGATTTTTTTTTTTATAGAAAGCCAGGCTTACAAGTAACCATGGGATTGCAGCACAGCTGGAACAGCTTATTGTTCACCCTCATTCACAGGTACTCATTCTTTCTTTGTGAACCATGAGATCCTTTTGACTATGGTGACCCGTTCTTCCCTTTGATCTCCAGTCGATAGGCCAAGGGATCTCATGCCAGACCTTGTAGGGCTGGGCACATAAATATCACGTGGAATGCTGTCTCCTCCTCCTCTTCACATTTCCTACATAAGAGGCTTTCAACTTGAATTCCCTTCTTGTGTAGATGTCCACGGAATACCCAATGGCCGCTAATAAAGCCAACCACCTTCTGCAGGATCTCCCTACTCAGCCCAAGGGCATCTGCCGCTATCACGCCAGTAGGTGCCTGCAGCATTCTCTTTGACTGTACATTACCTTCTGTTCTTTCCCAGCTCCTTCGATGTTCTATGCCCATCCACTGGCGAACAGCTCTCCGTGCTGTGCTGTAAGCAATGCCACACGTCGGCTCTGGACCCATGAGCGGGCTTTCAGCTCCTTTATTCGCCCACTTGTCAGCAGTAGCTTACTAGACTTTCTATTGTTATTTATTTTGCTGTACAATGTTTGGCAATTTATTTGTTTGAGTAAAAGTTTGAAAAAAGCTGTGATTTTAAACGTTACAGTTTTTATTACTGAACCAAGGTTAATGACACAAAATAAATATCATGATTGCCCAATAGCCTACTAATTGTATTTTTATGATGTAATATACAAATTATCACATTAAAGTTCATTTATACAGTTAGTATAAGACGTTGTTTATGAGTTGGAAATAACTGTTTTAAGTCATGTTGGATTAACCATGGTTATCCGTGGTCTGTTCGAAATACAGTTTTACTACGTTTTTATGTCAATAAACACGTTCCTCTGATAATCCGACCTTTTTGCTGTTCCGACCATGCTCCCTGTCCCGTAGGTGGCAGATTAGCGAGGTTCTACTGTATCTTGGTCAGCCCAGAAAGCATTGTGTGAAACATCTATACTTGGAAAAACACATTTAAAATGACCAAATGGTAAAATATTGGAACATAATAACTTAATAACATACCATAATAATTATTAATAACATTCATACTAATATTATAAATGTGAAAGTTTGTGTGTTTGTTTGAAGTTCAATCACGCATTAACTACTGGTCGGATTGTGTTGAAATTTGGTATGATGATAGCTCACATTCCCGATTAACATATAGGCATATTTTTACCTCAAAAATCCTTTCGAACTCCGCCCCAGTGGCTCTAGAGTTTCCCATGGTAACCTTATGAGTATTCTTATTTAAAAGGAATTAAATAATTTTGTCAGCTGTTATAACTACACAATTTGTTTCTATTCAAATACTATTGATATTTAGAATCTTATCTATTCTATTCAATACCATTAAAAGGTTACGGTTAACCAACAGGGTGCAGCACCATTAGTTCTTTAATTTATGACAACAGCTAATTTAAACCAAGCAGCAACAAAAACCTGTGAGAACTTTACTTCTTTCTATTGTTTAGGTGAAGTGGTAGAACATTATGGCTATGGTAGATGTGCTAAACTATAGTATACCGTAAATTATAGTAAACAAAATTTTCTTAAAACATGTCCTCTCCCATTGCAAATTCAAAGCACGAGTATAACTGCAATAAGCATTGTATACTTATACGCCAACTCCGTATGAAGGACGGGTACTCAGCTAGTAACTTAATAACTTAATAATTAATAACATAATATTTTTTTTTAATCTCTGGTAAAAAAAAATGGACATTATAGGAACCCCATTAATTATTATTGCCAAAGACAAGGTATTGCTTTGTATGTTATGTTATTATATTGAAAACCAAACAAATCCAAAATTGTGAGATTTAATAAATAAAAAATAAATATAGATTAGTTAATGAAATGTATACTTTCAAATGACATTTTAAAAAGTATTCCATTTGAGTTAAAATACAAATTGTTTTGACAAAATAAATAGGTTTACGTTATGTCGTCAATTCTTCTGTAGTATTGGGCGACTATTTTTGAAACAGTTGTTTCATTTTCAAGCCCATTTTGTCATACATAAATAATTATGTATAAATTATGTAAATTATGTATAAATTATGTAAATTATGTATAAATTATAAATTATGTATGACGAAATGTAAAATTTGTAAATATTGACGACGACATTGAGTACTATTAATTTATGTATGACGAAATGGGCTTGAAAATGAAACAACTGTTTTGAAACTAGTAGCCCGAGACTACAGAAGAATTGACGACGTAAAGTACATAAACCTATTTATTCAGTCACAAATCAATCCTGGAAGCAATGCTGAATAAATTGTTTTGAGTGAAGAGTTACTCATTTCACTCAACTTATTTTACAAAATGGTTGTTTTTAAAGTGTTCCTAATTTTTTTAAACATGGAATATCTCGTGTATTTAGTTTCAGGATAAATCTTTAAGGTCCCCAAAGCAGACCTACGGGCGACAGTGCGACATTGTCGCAGAAAGATGGCAAGGGCTGCAGAAAGCCTAGCCTGCCTAAAAAAACCCCTTTTTATAAAATTTCCAAGGCAAAGTTAGGGCTACACCGCCATTTCTTATGCTTAACCTATATAAGTTTCTGCTGAAAATGCTACATAACAAGTTAATAATATGTTTTTTGCTGAAAATATTTCTATAGAAAGTCTACAAATTTATTTTCTGCAGAAAAAATCACTGTTCTGAAAACAGTAACGCTACAAAATGTCATGCATTACATAAACGAAAGCTGTGACATCAATATTCGGTGCATCGATCGTGAGTAAGAACGCATAGAATAACCAAATTACTAAAGCGATTCAATGTACAGTAATAACAGTAGGCGTATTCAAACGGATACGAATTTCCAAATATTCATTATAACTATCACACACGCGGTTCATTTACACGCAACTTGGATGGTGTAAGCCCGCAGAAAACTTTTAGATTTTTCCAAAAAGTTTAAAAACGTTCTGCTTTGGGGTCTATTACTAAAGCAGTTTGGAAATTTTGTTTTTAAAAAGAATAAAGATAAATGGATAGATTGAAACTCACACAGTAATTGAATTACATTATATTCCTGGTAAAACATTTAAAACATACAACGTCTATACACATACTTATAAAAGGCAACATAGCTTCGTAAATTGCATTTACAGTAGACTCCCTCTTATCCGGACTTCTCAGAACCGAAGCTATCCGGATAACAGTTTTTCCA